AGTAAAACCATCTAACGAGAGACTCGAATAGACGAAATCTTACATCTGTTCTATTAACTGACTGTCCTTACCGTTTCTTGAGATGTCAAAATCCGAATGACGTCCAATTCAATCTGGGTCAGCAAAAGGGATCTTCCTTTAAAAGGAAAACAACGTATTAGTACTGTTTAGTTTTTTTTTAATGTACAGTGACGACAAAAAAAGAATCATTGCTACACGATATGTAGCTTCTTCTACACTGTATTGCGCAGTCACGTTCCGCTTTTTTTAATTGCTTACTTCAAACTTAAACATTTGACAATAAAAATAAACGGTAAAAGTTTGCGACGCTTCGACCGCTCTTCGGTCATTATCAAGCAAGATGTAAGAAGTAAAATTTGCATAGATATATATAGCTACAAAGAGGTAAGAATGTGTGAAAATTATTAATGAAGTAAAAATATGTAAAAAGTATGTGAAAGAATTTACAAAGTAGTGTTTAGAACAATAAAAAACATGTAAAACTAATTAATAATAATAAAAAAAAGATTATTTAAAAACTTTCGCACGAATAGAGTCAGATTGTACATTCAGACTTGGTCTCAGTTCATGAATAAAAAACGTTTCAAAAATAAGACAGTCAAACTTGGTTGTACATTTCTTTAATATCGAAAAGTTATTAGTAAGATCTTTAGAGGCCAAAGAATGTTCCTCGCGAAAATGTTTTCCAATTGATGACGACGGGTTTTTGTGCTCATCGACGCGTTGGTGCAAGTGCCGGCGCGTAAAACCAACATAACCTGCATCGCACAGGTCATATTTAAAATGGGACACAAGGGACTGTTGCTTAACGACTGGCGGCTTGACTTCACGTGATTTCAGGTCTCGCTCAATCTTGTGGCTGGTGAAAACAGGTTGGATGGTGGTGTTTGTTTTCGTGCTAAGATCTTTCAGTTGCGTGCGAAGAAAATCAGCTGAAGCTTGGTCTTTGAATGGTAGGACAANTAGGGGCCAAAGAATGTTCCTCGCAAAAATGTTTTCCAATTGATGACGATGGGTTTTTGTGCTCATCGACGCGTTGGTGCAAGTGCCGGCGTGTAAAACCAACATAACCTGCATTGCACAGGTCACATTTAAAATGGTACCCAAGGGACTGTTGGTTAACGACTGGGGGCTTGACTTCATGTGATTTCAGGTCTTGCTCAATCTTGTGGCTGATGAAAACAGGTTGGATGGTGGTGTTTGTTTTTGTGCTAAGATCTTTCAGTTGCGTGCGAAGAAAATCAGCTGAAGCTTGGTCTTTGAATGGTAGGACAATCCGAATGGGCTCTGGACTGTTGTCAGTTGGTGAAGGAACAGGTTGCTCAGAAACTTTGATGGCAATAAAGCGTGTTATGGTTGAATTAATTAAGTCATCTGGGTATTCAAGACGGGAGAACAACAACTTGAGACGATCGCATTCTTCGGAGAAGTAGGTCCAGTTAGAAGAAAGCTGAAACGCACGATCCAGCATAGTTTTTAGTCGATGAGCACATTACTAACATCTCTTCTTACAAGCTCTCCTTTTTTCAAAAGCTTGTGCTTTGTTGTGGCTTGAAGTTTGCCATTCCTAAACATGTATCCCCGATTGATGTCAAAGCTAGCTTTGAGAAAGCTTATTGGAAACTTGAGCCAAACCTATCAGAAGATCTTCGTGACCTTACAGCATCTACTTTATGTTCTTTGGCGTTAAATTATATTCATCGTAAAGGCCCTAAACCTCCAAAGACTCTCTTAAAAGCTATTCATCAATTGAAGAAGCGTAATGACATTGTCATAACTAAACCTGACAAAGGATCTGGTGTTGTTGTTATGGACAAGGACGAATACTTGCGCTTACTAGCTGAAGCATCCATAAACGATCTCACCAAATTTAGATCGGTCGACCCGATGAGACCAAAAAGCAGAGGAAGACCACCCAAGCGCTATCACCCTCTCCTACAAAAGGAGAAGGACTTAGATTCACTTGTTCGTCAAATTCTCCCTACTGAGATTGCAGACTCTGTCCGTCCTTCTGGCTCAAGGTTAGCTCACCTTTACGGTTTACCCAAAACACACAAGGAAAAGCTAGCTATGCGACCTATCTTGTCAGCTACACAGACTTACAATTATGCGCTGGCGAAATGGTTAGATNGGTTGAATTAATTAAGTCATCTGGGTATTCAAGACGGGAGAACAACAACTTGAGACGATCGCATTCTTCGAAAAAGTAGGTCCAGTTAGAAGAAAGTCGAAACGCACGATCCAGCATAGTTTTTAGTAGGCCGCGTTTATAACGATCGTCAACATGACTCTTGCAGTGTAACAAGAGACCAGAGTTTGTGGGCTTCACATAAACCTTTGTCTCTGTCAACGTGGTTGGATTTGTTGAGCAATTGCGTTCCAAGGAAAGGAAATATGCGGTCATTTTCTATCTCCATTGTGAACTTAAAAGAGGAGTGGCAGTCGTTCAGAGTCTGCAGAAAGTTGTTGGCTGATGCTTCGTAAGGCATGATGGTCAGTGTGTCGTCGACATACCTTCTGTAGTAGCTGGGCATCTTTCCTTCACGCACAAAAACCCATCGTCATCAATTGGAAAACATTTTCACGAACTGAGACCAAGTCTCAATGTACAATCTGACTCTATTCTTCAAACCTTTTTTTATTATTAGTTTTACATGTTTTTTTTTATTGTTTTAAGCACTACTCTGTAAATTCTTTTACATACTTTTTACATATTTTTACTTCATTAATAATTTTCACACATTCTTACCTCTTTGTAGCTATATATATCTATGCAAATTTTACNCATGACTCTTGTAGTGTAACAAGAGACCAGAGTTTGTGGGCTTCACATAAACCTTTGTCTCAACGTGGTTGGATTTGTTAAGCAATTGCGTTCCAAGGAAAGGAAGCATGCGGTCATTTTCTATCTCCATTGTGAACTTAATAGAGGAGTGGCAATCGTTCAGAGTCTCCAGAAAGTTGTTGGCTGATGCTTGGTTAGGCATGATGGTCAGTGTGTCGTCTTATTTAGATCGGTCTGGAGACTCTGAACGATAAGAAGAAGCGGTAAGAAACCAATTTTCAATGAGCAGATGAAGAGACTGTTCGACAGCGGCGAGCTCGGACCGGCAGAGAACAAAAATCCCACACAGCTACAGAGGACGACCTATATTTACCTCGACCTCTTTTGTGGCCGACGAGGACGAGAGAATCAACGCCAACTAACGCCAACAATTCTGTCCTTGCGAAAAACCCCTCAAGGAGTTGAGTATTTTGAGCTGAACCGAAGTCGGCTCGGTTCTTTACCAGCCACGAAAAACCATCAGGGTGGTCTCGGAGATTCTGAAGATGACCCGACGCTAAGATATTTTCTGTCCCTGCAGTCAGCTTCACACATCCAGCTCGAAACGCCAAGACAGTCACAACAAGGGAAAGCTGAAAGAGTTCTTGTCGAAAATAATTTTGGCATAACGTCTGTGTCAAATGGCGATAAAAGCTTTCGGCAGTTTTTCATCACTGTAATGTGCAAGTGCACAATTATTACTCTTCTCGATGACTCAAACTTGCACTCTTTTCAAACTTTCTGACCAAGGTTGTATATCCTTCGTTTGGTAGACGTTTCTTGTGTTGTGCATGATTGTAATTTTCGTTCAGCAGACTCGCTTGCTAAGCTTTCAAATTTTTCATTCAACTATTCAAGTCTACAAACGACGCGCATGTCATGTGATTTCCCACTTGTTGTTTTTTTGCCACATTAACTTCCGGTCGTTTTGTAAAATTAAAACCCAATAAAATTAAGCTATAATTTCCAAGTAGGCTACCGAATTTAATAAAACAATTATTCCATTCAATTCGCGCTAGTTGGATATGAGATTGGATATGAGATCTCATATCCAACGCGCGCTCATGGAATAATTATTTATAGTTGAATATTCCCCAATTTTCAAAACTGCGCGTGTTGCGAAAAAGATTTGAAGGATAATAAACTTAACACATTAGCCTGCATTTGGCGCGAATATATGCTCGGATATTTGTCCTTGGACCTTATCTGTTCCTCGAAGCTCACAGTTTTCCTCGAGATACGCTCTCGGAAAAGTGTTCGCTTCTCGGAACAGATAATGTCCGCGGACAAATATCCGAATATATTTTCACGTCAAATGAAGGCTATTGTTTATATATTTCTAATAAATTTTTATTAAAATAGTGTTAACTTGTGAGCATCGTTACAAGCTTTTTGCATGCAAATTGTAAAGAAAATATAATGACTAAATTTTCTGCAAATAAACAAAACCGAATTTAAAGGCCTGTTTATATTTATTCATGTTGCCATGGAAACAGCACATACGTCAGCTTAACTATCAAAAAACCAAAGTTCGTGTTATTAACTTGCTTGCTACCATTTTTGGTCAACCTAAAGGATCATGGGTTTTAAAGAAAAAGGTGAACGAAACACACGTATCAAAAACTGTGTTCAGCCACCTTAAGATCGATTATAGTAGAGACTACACATGCGAAAGTTTTATTACCTGTTTTTCAGTTGATCAATCTCTCGTTCTTTACTAGAAACTGCAGTCTTGTGTACTTCTTTTAGCTGATCGAATCTGCAAAGGCAGTTACAATGTGCAGGTGCAGATGAACAAAAATAATGAGAATCGAAAGGAAAAAACTGAAAGAGATCTACCATATGTCAGCAAAGCTTTGAAACAGACAGATACAGTAAGATCAGGGATTGAACAAGCTTGTTTGGTCCTATATTAGAAATGTGTCTGATCTTGTTGTTGTTGTTGTTGTTGTTGTTGTTGTTGTTGTTGTTGCTGTTGTATTGTTTTTGCACATTTCGTACCGTGCCCATAGAATTCGAAACAGTTAACTACTGTCATTTTAAGTCCTTGGATCAGCTCAGATCAGATCAATACAGACATCATAATTGGTCAAAGATTCCTACGGGTGAAATTCAGAACCTTAAAAGTAAAATAAAACCATTCCCTCACAACATTACAACAATAAAAGGTACCTTTCTTCAATTTTCACTTTTCGTTCATCAGTTTCTTGTAACTTTTTTTCCAGTGAAGCAATTCTACCAGGAAGCAAGCATAGGTATAATCATTAAATTCAGTTAAATTAGAGCTATTAGTTTCGATGCTTCTGTCTGTTGAATACGTTATGTTGAATTTTGACAGCATTTCTCCAGGAAGTGAAGTCCTTTGTTATATCCCAGATACAAATTATAATCTGTCCTTTATTGCTGTTGTTCAATTATTGTTATTATCTTGTTATCATTAGTATTTCTCAATCATTACTTTGCTATTTTTTTCTTTTTTAATCGAGTAGCTCAGTCTTTAGCAGCGAGCGACCAAACGAAAAGAAATTAAGGACAGTCCAAACTTGAATGTAAAAGCATACCTGATCTTGGCAAAATTCGGGCACATCACAGAAATCCTTTCCTAGCAGAAGTAATATATTCATATCGCTCGAAGTAAAAACGTTTGAGGTGGCACGATCACTCTCGAGGCAATCATTAGACGGTATAGGCTAGAGAGTGGTCGCCAGGTTAGAAAATTCATTCAACTAGGCGGCTAGAGCGATCCCGCTTCTGACTGGCTGCAAAGAATTAGTTTCTTGTCAGGACATTATATTTTGGTTATAATTGAGATTTCTTGCTAAGAGAAGATTTCTCCACAGCAATAAGGAGACAACGCTAAACAAATTTAAGCGAGAGGGATTTCCTTGTACGATAATGAATTCACTTGTTAAATAATGCACCATTTCATAGTGTAATCAGTTCCAATATTAATCCACTTTATTTCCCAAATGTACTTTCCTCAGGTATGAATTTTCAAACGATTATTTCATACATGGCGCCCTCGGGCTGAGGAATTTCCTGATATTGTTAAACTGAACACGTGTATGCTTTTTTATGATTATTTCCACCATGATAAGTTTCCTAATTTACCTGTTTCATTGGTATCTGAACTTCATAATTAGAGTACCCGTAGTGCATCATCCAACCAAGTTGCAATACCTTCATTTCGAACTAATCTTAGTAGATTTTGCCTCAGCATTATTGGAAGTTTCTTTTGGAATAATATTCCGCAATCCATTAGAGACAAACCATCTAAAAATATGTTTAGAAAAGCACTTTTACGCTGGTACCTTGCTCAATGCTAATGAAAACATTACCTCTTTATGACTTTCTGAGCTATTTTGTCATTTTTCCTATTCTTTTTCTTTTTCTTTTTATTAATAATCTCAAGTTATACATAACTTTAAGGGGCACAAAATTAGTTTATCTAGATGTGCCCCTCTCCTCTCCTTCC